TCAGACAGAAAATTTCCCATAGGGGTAATAACAGATCAAAATATTGTCTATAATTTCCACTGTCAATAATGGTGTATAGTAATCCTTTTGTAACTTCTTCCTATCCTTTGGAAGATACGAGGAAGGATAGCATGGTTCTGATGCAGCTGAAGAGGCATGCTCAGTAAGAGAGCAAAGCTTCATAAACGTCAGTTCTACTCCTCCCACTGGTGACACTGGTGACATTAAAAATCCATCTTTCATCAGAATCTTAACCTGGCTCCCATTGCTCCAGCATCCTGTGGAACAGCATGTAATACAGACCTCGTTTTCAGTTCTCATTGTCTGCACCATTAATTTAAGTATCTCAAGAGGACCCTACTAGGGTCAATCTGGCCCTGGCCCTGCTCTCCTTAAGAACATTTTAGCCACAAGTATAATTTTGATCCCATTCAATTTAAAGTCTGACAATCAATATTCACACTGAAAGCAATTTTTGGCTTGATTTTTATGAAATGTCTATAATTCCTGATCACCATCATGAATGTTTAAAGACTTCTTATACAAAGAGTAGAGGAGAAAACTCTTATGGGTTTTAAAAATGAGATGTTGGAAATATAAGCTATTCTACCTGATGTACTAATGCTTAGATCCACTGGTTCTTTAAAATTACTTGTAGGCTCTTTATGGGTAGGAAATCTGTTTTCCACTTCTTTCTGTAAAGCAGCCAGTTGCTCCAAAGAATGACATAGTTGCTGCATATGGAAGCTGGACTGCTAAAAGGAATTGGCTATAAGAGAATATATGCTATGAAATGTGAGAAAGAAGCATTCCAACAATTCCCAACAGCATGGAAAGACTTACCTTCATCTCCAAACAGATCCCCACCCAGCTCTTTCTAGATGCCTAAAGAACAGGAATTTTGATTTATCCCCATCCCTATGTGCTACATTGAAATGTAGAAGAGCTCTGAGGAGAAAAAGCCATCAGAGGGTCCTCCTCCCTCTGTTATACGTGACCCCAAAGATGAAGAAGTGGGTGATCAGAAATAGGGAGTAAAAAAACAATCCCTTATCTCTTTCCCTTCATGTGGTTTCATCCCTCCCCCGCCAATGTGGTACCATTTCTCCTGGTGAATGCAGGGTTAGCCAAGGGGTGATAGGGATAAAAGACAGAACTCACCTTTGATTTTTAGCATAGCTTAGAACTAAAGAACTGAAATGCTGACTATTCCCTATCAATGATTAGAACTAACATCCCACTTCCTGTTCAAAGATTCGGCCATTAGTAAACCTCAGGTCACTGGTCCACACGAGATGAAGGCATGGACTAGAGAGATGGCTCAAAGGCTGAGCACATGTTTTGCATGCAGATGCTCATGTTCAATCCCCAAACCACAGGGGCACATATGGGCACTGCCAGGAGTGAATGCCAGGCACAGAGCTGGGAATAGCCCCTGAGCACTGCAGAGTGTGCCCCCAAAAGCCCAGTCCCCCTTCAACAGAAAGAAATTAAGGGCCATGCATCATGGCAGTGTAGTCTTCCTGTCATTCAATCACTCAGTGCTTTGTCATGCTTATTTCTCATTTTTACTGCATCCTCAATAAAATAAACAGCAGAGCCACTTTACAACCACTTGGACAAAGCTTGTAAAGGTGGAAGAATCCAGAATGCCAAAATAAACATTTTTGGTAAAAAAGAATGTGTTCCTGTGATAAAAGATTAGTTCCACATGATTATTTACAGTTTACCGAGGGATGGGCATGCGTCAAAGCAAAACAAGGGATTTCTCTCCACTTTGGCATAGTCAAACATTCAGCACACACTTTTGGAGAATGAAACCAGTTTAAGACACAAAGAGCTCTTGGAACTGGTACTGAGCCCTCTGTTAGATTAGGAGACTCTGTATTTACAGATCCTTCTCACTTCCGCTTAGTAACAAGGTCCCTGCTGGCACAGGAAAAACAGAACTAAAGCACACATGGAGAATCTGTAACCTGTCATGGGAGGCAGAATTCCTGCTTCCCTTTAGAGCATGGGCAATTCCCAAAGCCCTGGTATAATCACCCCAAGGTGCAGAGAGTACTGTACACACTTCTGGTTTGCACCTGGAACAATACAGGTGTACACTTAGGGCCCCATTAACGGCCAGTCAGCTGGCACATGGTTCTTGGTGATACCCAAATGCTTACTCCACATAGACCACCTGGTAGACTCTGATGCACCATTCCAAACCCAATTCATTCCCTAAAGGAATCTTTCAAATTATCTCTCCACATCCTGCTTCTGGCTTCACCAAGATAATCATCCCCTTCTTGGAGGGAATATATAGTAATTACCTGCTTATACATTTGTTACAGGCTTCCGGAACAAACAGTGAAACCTTAGGGCCTAAGGTAGTATACTGATTTATTTATTTTTTATAATTACAATCTCAGGTCCTGAGCATACTGCCTGATTCAAAGTAGCTATTTAGCATTTCTTTCTTTTTTTTCTTTTTTTTCTTTTTTTTGGGGGGGAGGTGTCACACTCGGCGATGCACAGGGGTAACTCCTGGCTTATGCACTCAGGAATTACTCCTGGCGGTGCTCAGGGGACCATATCGGGATGCTGGGAATCGAACCCAGGTCAGCCGTGTGCAAGGCAAACACCCTACCCACTATGCCATCAGTCCAGCCCTGATCTTTAATAAAGTTAATAGGGAAAGTTTGTTAGTTGGTTGATTTGGGGGCCATAACAGGCAGTGCTTAGGGACTATTCCTGATTTTGTGCTCAGGGATAACTCCTGGCCCAGCTTGGGGGACCATAAGAATCTAACCAGGGCAGGCCACATGTAAAGCAAGTGCCTTAACATTTCTGTGAAGTGGGAGGCAGAATTTCTCTCCACTTCCAAGAAAGGTTTTTTTTATTCACATCAGCATTGATTTTTAGCGTGTGTGTGTGTGGGGGGGGGGGGGGGGGGGACGTGGCAGGAACAGAATGCAGGGCTTCACATATGCAGGCCAAGCTCTCCACTACTGAGCGACACAGCTGACCCAGGTCAGCTCTGCTCTCCCTTTAACCATTTCATCAAAAAGCTTTTCTTTTTGGCTCTATTTTCTTGAGTCATTTATGCAAATGTCATTTCTGATCTAATTTGTAAGACAGTAATTTTATTCCTGTATTATTAAATAGGCCTGTAATGCTGTAATGTGATTATCGTGATGTTATTATGGAATATTAGGTAATCACATGTGCACTGTTTATTCACGTATCATAATAGAAGAGAGAAGGCAGTACTCAGGGTACTGCCACTTGTTTTCATATGTGCACTATTTATTCATGTATAACAGTAGAAGAATGTAGACTGTACTAAGGGCACCCACTGGTTTTCATATTTATTCATGTATAATAGTAGAAGAGTGTAGGCAGTACTAAGGCACCCCGGCTGGTTTCCTCATAGAGGCTGTGCATGGCACACCAACACATCCCATGGCTGAGTCAGGTGAAGATGCTGCCCAGCAGAATGGAGCAGAAATGGGGATGGCAATTGGGGTGGCCTATGCCTTGTTTCTGCACCCGTCTTTGCCAAGGTTCGTATTTAGCACTTTGTCATCCATAAAGGACACAATGCTGAGATGTGTGTTCCACTTTAAGATTCTATCAGAATTCTAATTATTACAAGTATGAATTTCTTAATGATTTTCCAGTTTCTGTGTATTACAAATATCCTTTAATCAATCACAATATTGCATCGGTCCTGAGAAAAACACAGTTAAATGGTATACCTGAAATTTATAACTCTACTATACCTACAAATTATAACTAAATCTCCTTTTAAGAAGGGTAGGATGGTTTTTTTAATCATTGCCATGGGAAAACTGAGAATGAGTCTGTGTTCTGTACATTTTGTCTAAGTGTATAATTGGGAATCTTTTATTTTGGGTGTCATAATCAGAAACATTACTTTCTTGTGCTGCATTTACATTCTCAGAGTTAAAGAAAAATGATATAATAAACTATAAAGCTGATAAAATTTATATAATCATAAACTATATAACACAGTTAGTAATTAATTAGCTTGGGCTCTCCCAGAAAATCTCAAGTCATGTGATATTGTTCTGACACTCTGTTTGAATCATGATGTCAACCACGAATGGAGGAACCAAGCTAACAGGGTTTTCAGAATATAGTCCAGATGACATAAAATTAGGTCAACAAGGTCTGGATAGAAATCTGCATGGAGAGAGGGTGCAATGGGTAAGGCCTTTTACATGGCTAAAGTCTTATACACTGGCCCAGGTTTATACCCATGCACTCCCTATGGACTGCCGAGCTCTGCTAGGAATGATCCTGGAGCCAGGAGTAAGCCATAAGCATCACCAGTGTGGCCCAAAATACACACACACACACACACACACACACACACACCAAACAAAAACAAACAAACAAACAAAAATAAACACAAAGAAATACATGTTTTCAGCCTTCAAAGTACATAGCAAGAGTAGCGTACATTTTTTTCCTAAGTTATATGTTGAATGAAACGTATTGATGCCAAGCGAAGAACTCAGGTTCAGATATTTGAGCAAAGATGTTAAAGGGTCATAGGAGAATAACTGCAAATTGTACCTGAAGATATAAAATAATCATGCCATTTTCCAGTAAGTATGGTGAACCTACAGAAATACCACAAAATTCATTCCAAGACAAATCCTTTCATAGTTTAAAACCACCTTTGGCTGCATATTGAACCACTGTACCTAGGATTTATTTTATTCTGGAGTTCTTCTTTCCATGTTTAATCACCATGTCTGAACCTAGCATTGTTCGGCTCAACAAACACAGAACAACACTCATCATAACTGAAGAACCAGAGTCCTGACGTCACCTCTTCCTTAACTCCCACTTGCACAGCCTGTGAACCAGCAGAGCCTCCCTTCCTTTGTAGCCAGATGCCAACGGCCACTGAGCTTTAAATAGTCAAAGTTCAGTTGCGGGGGGGGGGGGGGGAATAATTCTAATTCCAGCTGCTAGCTTACCTTGAAGAACTTCCATGGGGAGAACAGTCCAGGCATTTTCCAGGTAGGAAATATAAATATAGCGAGCCGTGTTGCAAGCCAGACCAATATACAGAACCCTACAAAACAGAAAAGAAAAAAAAAAGAAGCAAAGGAAAATAATTGAGGCCCTGAGATGAGCTATACAAAAAGCAAATATTTTACCCAGCCTTTCCCCTGCCCAGGCTGTCCCATCCTCTAGCAGTGTTCCAAACTTAGGAGGAGGGAAGCTAGAGGACAATTAAATTTAAACATAAGCTCTTAGGAAGACGGCGACTGCTTCTAACTGCCTTTGGCCTTCTCACAATGCGTGTTAATATAAAAACGAATACCATCCTCTCTGAAACTTAATTAGTAGCAGAGGAGATGCTTTTTTAAGATAGTCTGGGCACACTGCCATCTATAATGACATTGCTGGCTTCCTTCCAGGTGCTGTAGGATAGACATACTGGGGAGGGCAGCCACTCCACTATGAGGGGGAGGAGGAAGGATGAAAATGAGAACATGAGAAGAAGAATGTGGTCTTCCTTGCAAATCCCAAGATGCCAAGCAGTTTCACAAGGAGACTCTCAAGGTCACTAAAACTATCAAGGTCACTAAAAACTATCAAATCCATTTTTCCTATTAGTTCAACTGATACATATTAATTTCTCAAAATCCATTATATCATATCTGCTTTACTAAAACAGTGGTAACTATATCTCAACATCTCACTTTCCCCTTATCAATCACTACCACCAAAATGTGAGTATAATGAAATAAAGGCCTAGAGTGGTGCACCCAACCTAGAAGGTTGCCACGTCTCTCCTCCAGAACTGGATGAGCTGGTTTTGAAGCAAACAGTGGCTGTTTCTAAGTATGAAACACAACCTGATGATGGGGATTACTTTATTCGGTTGGTTTCCATTTTCAGATAAGTTCCCTAACCTGAATGCTTTCCTCTTCCTCCCTTTTCTAAATTCAACTAGGACTGAGGTGAAAACTCAAAGGTAAAATAAAGAAGTCAATAGTATAATCTGATATTTTTTCTAATCTTGCTCAATTATATCAACTATACTTTTATATTAAAGCCGTTCCTGTAAACATTGCTCTCTTTTACCAATACTGGATCAAGAAAAAAAAGCTCTGAGATATACAACTGGAAGTAGTAATTGTAACAGAGGACATAGAAATGAAAACTGGAATAGTGGATGAAACAGAAGATAGAGAGAGAGGAAATGGAGGTGTGATGGGCTTTAGGAGATTCTTGGTGGAATACAGAAACGGTCCTTTAACTTGTTTTGTGGAAATTTCACTCATATTTGCTATAATTTTATGTTTTAAGGGGTAAAGGATGTCATTCTTTTTGGTTTTATTTTTTTTTTTACGTCACCCAGCTCTTTACTTGTGTGTGTGGTGGGAGTGGGGGAGTAGAGAGTGGAAGGTCACTTAGCCTGTTGAGCTATATCTCTCTGGCCCCTCAAGATTTTTTGATAAAGAATTGTGTTGAGCAAATATCTTACAGAGCCATCAAGTATGGTCCTTCTGTCAGGAAAGAAACAAACAACAACAACAAAAACTGTGGGAAATTAGGACACAAACACAACTTGCACACACCTATGTCTGTCTCCTTTTAAAATTCTAAACCAGCTCTGTCGGTGACCTCCACTTATGTTAACTCTTGTGGTCAACAAATATTTTCACTAAGGGAAATGCAGAAAATAGTTCAGGCTTTATAAATCCCTTGCAACTCCTATGACTCTGTTGTGGAGTGAACTCAACCACAGACAACATGTAAATGAGCGTGGATGTCTAAGTTCCACGACAATTGGAATTATGAACACTGAAATTGAAGTTTCATATAATTTTTTATACATGGCAAAGTAATATTCTTGCCATTTTTAATGAACCACTTAACATAAAGTATTTTTAGTTCAAGGGCTATACAAAAATAGGAAGCTGATCAGATTTGATTTATAGGTTATAGTTTGCCAACTATGGCCAAACCCATTAACTCTCACTAATTCTGGCGATAAACCAGATTGACTAAAGCCTTTGTAAAAAAAAGGCCACAGATGTCAAGTCCCACAATCTCAATAAAGATCCCTGGGGCTGAAACCCAGGTGCCGTGTTCTGAAAGCTCCTATTTTATTCAGATTCTGAGTCAGAATAGAGAACCAATGTTTGAGCTCATTCTAAGCAACATCCTAAAACATATGCCTACAATATCACTGTCAAAAACAGATATCACATCTTCCTTGAGTTCACGCTGCTTATCCCAGTGGTTTCCCACCTTCTTATACATGCAGACTAGTGAAAAGAGAAGTATTTTGTAAATTGTTACTGCAGAAATAATAAATATATTATTTGTGATAGTATTTTGTGTATTGTTTTAAAGCTAATACTATAAAATAAAACTGCTCTCATAATTTTAAATGGAACAAGACATAGAGCAATAAACAAAAACACAGTCATAGAACATCTCAAACTTTTGAGAAAGCAGTATTTAATTCAAATAATGTTAGCGCAGAATATGCTGTTGCTTCTTGGCTAGAATTTTGATCCTGTGGTGCAGCATTGTTTCAGAGAGACAAAGGTCTGCATTGTTTTGTCAGTTTGATTTTTATCACTGAGGAGATTTAGCAGTTAAGTAGCAATGAATTTCTCATAGACTGGCAGGAAATTTTTGCAGACAAGTGTCAGTCCACAAAACCTGGAGGTGAAAAATCACTGGTCTATCCTGAACCTGAACCGTGGTCGAGGCCATCTCTGAACTAGGGTTTCTATGACAACTGTCCTTTAACCCAGGTCTGAGTCCAAAGGTCCTGACCTAAAATAATCCAGAGTGAATCTACTGACCCAGATTTGGGGCAGACTCTGCTTAAATTTCTACCATATGGGTTTCAGTGAGAGTCTGTAAGTTCTATAGTTCTGGTTCTCAGATTGCCTGCACAAATCAAGAGGTTGAGAACTTGAGTGAGCCTTCCACACTTGCCCACATTCTACTTTCATCATTTCTAGTCCCTTGAGACCTAACAGGTACCTTAAAAGAGAATAAAATAAGACCAAAATAAAATCAGAAACATCCAGAGCAATTTACCTCATCTATCTGAGTTCGTTTCCTTACACCTGCTCTGCAGACTTGTGATGATAACACAGAGAATTGCCCCCAATAAGCACTCAATAAGTGTAGCCTTATTACTTTATATATTTCTCCTGGCTGGCTCGGTGGGACCGTTGACTCTTTATGGGCTGGAGCGATAGCACAGCGGGTAGGGCATTCGCCTTACACGCGGCCAACATGGCTGACCCGAGTTCGATTCCTCCGCCCCTCTCGGAGAGCCCGGTAAGCTACCGAGAGTATTCGATATGCCAGACACAGTAACAACAAAGTCTCCAAAGGAGACGTTACTGGGCCCGCTCGAGCAAATCGACGATCAACGGGAGGGCCTTTACTTTACTTTACCTTTATTCTGGGGGCCACACCCAGCCAGCTCTGCACTCAGAAATTATTTGGTGGTGTTCAGGCGACCATACGGGGTGCCAGGGATTAAATCGGGTGAACCATGTACAAGGCAAATGCCCTACCTGCTGTACTATTGCTTTCCCCCAATACTTCATTATCCGAAAGATGAGGAGCCAGGTATCTTTTTGTTTTCTGACTCAACTTTTATCCCCAAATTGCAAAGGAGAGGATCCTGCCGGATTTTTTTGGGGGGGCGGGGGTGCTGAGATCAAAACCAGGGCCTAATAAATGCAAAGCATGTGTCCTTACACTGAATGACATCCCCTGGCTCCTCTGCAACCTTTCTGGGGAAGCCAGCAAGGGCAGGAAAGAGAAGACAGGGTTCCGGAAAAAAGACACGAAGTTCTGGAGAGTACAGAGTTCCAGAGAGAGAGGACAGGGTTCAGGAGAGAGAGAGAGGTCAGGGATCCAGAAAGGACAAGGCTCAAAAGAGAGAGGATGGGGTTCCAGAGAGAGAAGACAGAGTTCTAGAGAGAGATGACAGGGTTCCTGAGAGAGAGAACAGTGTTCCAGAGAGAGAGGACAGGGTTCCAGAGAGAGGACAGGGTTCCAGAGGGAGAATACAGGGTTCTAGAGAGAGGACAGGGTTCCACAGAGAGAGGGGAGGGGGACAGAGTTCTGGAGAGAGAGGATGAGGTTACTGGTGAGAGAGGAAGGAGTTTCAGAGAGAAAGGATGGGGTTCTAGAGAGAGGATAGGGTTCCAGAGAAAGGACAGGGCTCCACAGGGAGAGGACAAGGTTTCAGAGAGAGGACAGGGTTCCAGAAAGAGAGGGAGGATGGGGTTAGCGATGAGAGAGGATGGAGCTCCAGAGAGAAGGGATAGGGTTCTAGAGAGAGTACAGGGTTCCACAAAGAGGACAGGGTTCCATAGGGAGAAGGCAAGGTTTCAGAGAGAGGACAGGGTTCCAAAGAGGGAGGAGGGGGACAGAATTCTGGAGAGAGAGGATGGGGTTATTGGTGAGAGAGGATGAGAGAAAGGATGGGGTTCCAGGGAGAAAGGATGGGGTTCTAGACAGAGTACAGGGTTCCAGAGAGATCACCGGATTCCAGAGGTGGGGGACAGGGTTCCGGAGAGAGAGAAAGGATGGGGGTTCTAGAGAGAGGACAGGGTTCTGGAGAGACGACAGGATTCCAGAGGAGGGATAGGGCGCAGGGAAAGTGTTCCGGAGAGAGGATAATGGGTTCTGGTGAGAGAGGTCAGGCAGATGACTGAGCAGAAGCACTGGCCCTGCTGGACCCCTTGGAAGGACCACAACATCCACTCCTTGTTAGACAAAAGTAACACTATCACCAGGGCAAGGAGCAGCAATTTTTTTTTTTTTTTTTTTTTTTTTTTTTTTTTGCTTTTTAGGTCACACCCGGTGATGCACAGGGGTTACTCCTGGTTCTTCACTCAGAGTGAGTTACTCCTGGCGGTGCTCAGGGGACCATATGGGATGCTGGAACTCGAACCCGGGTTGGCCGTGTGCAAGGCAAATGCCCTACCCAGCCCCAAGGAGCAGCATTTATAACAAAGAAAAGGCAAGTAAGTAATATATTTTTATCTAATAGTCATTATAAGGTATTTTAACAAT